GCATATTTTCCAAGGATAAATAAAAGCAGAAAAATATAATCTTACTGACTGAGAAAGCATTAGAGAAGACAAAAAAAAAAACAAACAAACCCAGGATTGTGATAACAAAAGGAAGGTAAAGAAATGGGCTTTTGGGTGGACACTTTGGTTTGGCTGGTTGTTTTTACTACAATAATCTTTATATTAAATATCCTGTGAAGAGAGAATACAAGATGGATGATGGAAGGGAAGGGGAGAAGAATCAATTAGAAATTTAGAAGAATAGTTTAGGGAAAAAATTGTATGTGTTATAAACCTTCACAACAAAGTCATTATATTATATTATGTTCACTATTTAAGTACCCACAAACTATTGTCGCTATTAATTCTTTGAAAAATTCATCATATCAGGAAAAAAAAATTATGTTTTCAGTGAACAAAAGCAAATTTATAAGCTCCTGATCCTCAGAATATTGTCTCCAGACAAGCACTATTAACATCACTTGTAACATGTTGAAAATATAATTTTTCAGACAAATGCAGATGCCCAGATCTTTTAGCAGAATCAGAAACACTGGAAGCCAAGTCAAACAGCCTGTGTATTCATCATGCTGGGATGAAGAGAATATATGCAAAATTTAAGAACTAGGTCTTAGTCCAAGAAATCTATCTCTTTCTGCCTTCAAAAAAAATACAAATCTACAGTCATATATTGATTCTGAATTACAGTGACCCTTTCAGGAAAAGTATAAGCAGCTGAGAATGTTTTCATGGCTGTTATGACCTTAATCAAGCAGGAGGCCTCATGTTTCTCACTGGGTATTTCCAATTGCCAACCTTTCTGTTAGCAGTCAAATGCTTCAATTATTACATCACAAGAACTTCCTCCATTTTGCTTTTTTTCCTTGGATATTAAGATCCAAATTCAGCATTCATCCGTGAAAAACTAAGGATATTAAGTTCTTGATGGAACCAATTTTTATGTTCATTTAATGTGTTTTTATTTCCAATTTTCTTTTTTCTCATTTATATAGTATTTAGCAAATCATATTCATTTGGAAGTAAATAAATATCTAAAAATTAACCACTGTTAGATTAATTTTCACCTTTGTGGTATAATAATTATGCATCCCCTTGCTAACTTAATTCAAACTCATTAGCTACTCTGCCCCAGGAATCGATGAGGTACCAATTGACTTGTTTCAATTAACAGATGCAGCCTGGGATGCACTCACTGGTCTATGTCAGGAAATTTGGAGGACAGCTGTCTTTCTGAAGGTTTAGAAGAGGTCCATATTTGTTCCTATTCCCACGTGGAAATTATCATACGATATCATTGATATCACATGCAAGCAAAATACTGCTGAAGATCATTCAAAAATGACTAGAATAGTACATAGATAGGGAATTGCCAGAAGTTCAAGCAGGATTTAGAAGAGGTTGTGGCACCAGGGATATCATTACTGAGGCTATGTCATCAGAAATATCATTGTTGATGTCTGATGGATCCTGGCTGAAAATAAGAAATATCAGAAGAATGTCTATTTGTGCTTTATTGACTATGCAAAGGTGTTTGACTATGTGGATCATGGCACATGACAAGTTATGATTGACCTTGAGAATGGGATTCCCAGAACAATTGATTGTGTGCACAAGGAACCAATTGTGTGGTGCAGGAGGCTGTTGTGTGAACAGAACTGGAGAGCACTGCATTATTTGGATTTGGGAAGGAGGTGCATCAGGGATGTATTCTATTTCCATACCTGTTCAATCTATATGCTGAGAAAATTATCTGAGAAGCTAGACTCTATGAAGAGGAATGTGGCATCAGGATTGGAGGGAGACCTCATAAATAATCTATGTTATGCATATGATACAACCTTATTTGCTGAAAATGAGGAGGATTTGGACCACTTGTTGCAGAGGATCAAAGAATGCAGCCTTCAGAATGGATTATGTCTCAATATCAAGAAAACAAAGATTCTTACCACTGGACCAATAGGCAGTGTCATGATGGATGGATAGGAGATTGAAATTGACAACAGCTTCATCTTGTTTGGATCCACAATTAACACCCTTGGTATATGCAGTAAGGAAATAAGGATGTGAATTGCACTGGGAAAATCTGCAGTTAGGACAGTTCCAAATTATTGAGGAGTAGTGCTGTCAGTTTGAGGATTAAAGTGTATCTGATTCAGACCATGGCCTTTCCAATTACTAGTTATGCATCCAAGACCTGGATAACTAATAAGGATGACAGAAAAAGAATTGATGCCTTTGAGCTGTGGTGTTAGAGAAGAGCACTGGACATCCCATGGAAAGTGAAGGAAACAGATATGTCTTGGAGAGGGTGCAGCTGGATTGCTCTTTGAAGACAAGAATGATGAAGCTTCGTCTCACATACTTTGGATATATTGCTAGGAGGTGCTATTCCTTGGAGAGGGACATGGTGTTGGGAAGAGTGGAGGGTCGGTGAAGGAGAGGAACCCTCAACTAGGTGTACTGACATGGTGACTGCTGCAATGGGGTTTTGTGTGTCAGGATGTGTGAGGATAGCGCAGGACGGGATTGGGTTCAGATATTTTGTTCATAGGGATGCTGTGAGTCTTACTGTACTTGATGGCACATAACAACAACAACAGCTATTTTGGAAAAATAATATATAAAAGACTGAGAGATCTGCACCCACAGACATCACAGCCTATTACTAATAATGCAAGCTTGTGCAAATAATATTTCCTTGTCTATAACGCTTGTGCATTTTTTTGGTAACTTTTTCACCAAATAGACTTAAGCAAAGAAGAAAATATCCACTTATATATAGACTCAACGCAGTCCATTTTTGTAAGTCAGGACCCACTCATAGCTGACCCTATAGTGGGTTTTCAAGAGCAGTTGATGGATAAGAACTACCTAAGTGCACAGTTGCAGAATGGTAAAGGTGAATGATAAAAAAAATAAATAAATATCCTGATAAAGTTGATAGTAAAGAACAGACATTAGTGTTGTTTTCCCAGAACTTCACATTATTTTGATTAGCAGCCAGAATGGAAAAAAAGAAATCAGAAGACAGTAAAGGAGAGAATCGAATAAAGATACAAAAACTTCAAAATTCATGACCATTGAGTTTGAAGTAACCCACCGCTGACCCTCAGAGGGTTTTCAGAGGCTGTAAATCTCACACAGAAATCGATTGTTCATTTTCCCAGTGGTTTAGAGAGGAGCCAACTTTTGGTTAATAGTGAAACTCCCCACAATTTATGCTACATAGCTCCCTTAGAACACAAATATATCTTTATTCTTCTTGTGATTAGGTGCTGTCAAGTATGACTCATAGTAATCCTTTAAAAAATCAATGTGTTCCCTGTCCTATGCTGTGCCATTCTATTCATCTCTGGCACATTTCAGTCCATTGCTGAAGTAACTGTGTCAATCCATTGTAATCTAAATTCACCTACTGAAAGATTATAGTAAAAACGCATTATAATAACTAGCCTTAACAAGCCTGCCTATTAAAAAGAGTGAAAGTATGATTAAGAAAAGAGGAATATACAACTGAATTTGTTTTAAGCTTGGAAAAGAGTGAAAAAGCCAAAGATAAAATGTAGGGATTAGAATTGATGTGCATGGCAGGGCAGTTTTGACTTGATTGTTCAAGGATAAAGATAAGATATTAAACTGAAAACTCAAATACATGCTCTTTGTGATTTCCACGTTTAGAATAACATACTTCTAGTTGGACTAAAAATAACTAGATGGAAACACCAAAGTCTATTTTGATGTTACAAAATAATTTCAAACACAGTCCTGGTAACACCTGAGCAAACTAACTTTCTGGCTATCACTTCAATAGAATTCATTAAATGTTAATATTTATTTTGGATTAAGAGAGGTTTCTGTAGGTTCTTTGGAATAGAAAATACGTTTTGAAATGCAAATATTTAACATCTATGAATAATAATAAATATATATTGAAAGAACAATGTTCACAGGGTTTATTTATATTCTAAGCAACTATGAATCTTAAACAATTGTTTCTAAATGACTTAACTTTATTAGCAGAGCAAACACTAGCAACAATTTAACATTATATTTAACTGTTTTTCCTCATCGTAATTCTGAAACACAAAATGTTACATATGCACTAGAAATATGAATGCTAGGATTTATTATCATCATTCATTGTTGTAGCTAGAATTAGTTCGTTTTCATGATATCAATTTAATCATATTAATCATACAATTGAATAAGTTAACAGCAGGATTCTTTAAATTGGCTTTGGAGATAGGCTAGACCACCAAATTTTTAGGCAGAGAGTGAAGGACTGAAAAAGAACTCCTTTCATTGCAATGAGAAAAGGTGGCCACCAGAGAGAGCTCAGCCACTATATTTTGTTAAAAAGAGCCATTACTTATTTTCATTAGGCAGAAATTCTCTACTTATCTGAAACACCTGCCACACTGAAGACAAAACAAATCAATTATTTCAGTATTCCTAAAAGTCAGAGACAAACCTTATAAATGGAGCTCTCACACTGACATTTATGAAGTCATTTGTCTCTGGTTTAAAAAAAAATGGTGTTAGTGTACGGTTTCAAGGGAGATTTGACAATTAAAGGAGAAAGGTACAAATTTGTATGTGTTTGGTTTTAGCATGAAGACTATTGTTTAGATTAATGGAAAGACTTATTTACACACTAGAAAGAAATGTGTTTTCAAAATGACTTAAAAGATTTCTAACATCTCTTTAACTCAAAAGAACTGAGTTGATACACATAAAAAACACACAAAAAGGCCATATAATCTGATAATATTTGGTGATAAGCACAAAAAAATATATCTCCTGTAGCTTATGAATTCTTAATAGCTCAATTTCTGATAAAAGGAATTATTTTCTTGTTAATCAGGACCACTTAATAGCAATTGAGACAAATTGTTGAACACGTAATTGTAATTGACACTTGCTTTAACGTTCCTTTTGCCCCCATGCACAGTAAGTAATATAATTTAAAAAACACCTACACTCGAGTTTATCTTCAGGCCTTCCTCTTTCAAGGAGAGACAGGTAGCAGACAATATCCTTTAAATGGATTACTTCTGGGGAACATGTATTTGCAGGAGATGTCCGGGGAGGAGTGATGGCACCTTTGTTTATTTTCAAACCTGGAAAAATATTACATTATATTTTTTTAAATATCCATAGTGAACTCAAAACCAATAAGAAAGAAAAAGGAAAATTACATAGATTATGTAGAGAACTATTCATTTCTATGGAGATGATGGCAATTCACTGATAAGAATTCTCACCTGATGCACCAGAGACCTGAGTTCAACAACATATCTCAAGGACAGCCACCTCTTACCTTTTTGCCAGTGAAAGACTGTTTATTGGATGCTGAACAAGTTTCAGTGGCTTCCAGGCTAAGACAGACAGGGAAAGAGGACCTGATAATCTACATGTGGAATCAGTCAGTGCAAGCCCTATGGATTTATCATTGTCACAGAGTCAGAACTGACTTATGACTGATAACCAACTCAGAATCAACTTCAGCATGTATTGTTAGACTGTGAATTGCACTGTGCTAGAGGACACTGTCCCTCTTTTTTCCACATAGAAGCTACTGGATTTGAACCACTTATACCTGTTACGAGAGTGTAACTCCTTACTCACTAAGCCACCTTCCAATTCCTAACTATTCTTTGAGCCAGACAGGATCTTTATTTCTGTTGTGCATTGATCATCATGAGTCATAGAACCACTAGATGACACCTGTCATTATTGTTGTGTACCATAGATTCGGAACAGACCATAATCGACCCTCCAGTGGGTTTTCAGAGGCAGTTAATTTCAAAGGCGGAGACTGTCCACACTTCTCCCACAGAACAGCAGGTGGCCTCGAATAGCATGCCTCTTGCCACTTGGCCACCAGAGCTCCCTAGAATGACACCTAACAACCAAAATAAAACCAAATTCTTAATTGTTTTAGGTCAGACATTTTTCTAAGTGGTATAGCACTGGTCTGTCCATTTGCTGTACAGAGGTAACTCGTGGTTGCTGTGATGCTGAACACTGTGACACTGATGTGTCTAATGTGATAATGGTCACCCATGTTGGACAGTGTTTGGTGAAGCTCCCTGATTAAAACAAGCTTGGAAGCAGGAGAGACATCCACTTCTGAAGCAGCTTGCCTCTGGAAATCCTATGAACTTTGGAAAACAAAGAAAGTTATACAAGTGTTCAGGTCTTTCGTTCATAGGGTCACTATGAGTCGTCTACAATTCAATGGCACGTAACAACAACAACATATTGTTAGGGATTTCAGCTCCTGGTAGTCCTAGACATGTAAAGTAGAAATATACCTCATATGGTTTTCAAAGCTGTAACCTTTTAGAGACAGATAGCCAGGTCTTTCATCTGAGGCATCTCTGGGTAGGTTTAAACCTCTAATATTTTGGTTCATACTTGAGAACTTAGTTTATTTGTGTTATCCAGGCACTTCACTGTTAAAAACAGCAGCATAATATTTACAACCAAATTACTCAGGACTCTAGTAGAGTAAAAGGAGTAAATGCAGCACAGGGATGGCCAAGTTGGATCTCTTAATTCTACAAAAAGGAATTGTCATTATCAACAATTTTCACAATATAACACCCATCCCTTTAAAGTAAGACATGGTCCTTTACTGCTATTGCACTTACTTTTACTATGTCTCAAATTCATTGCAAATGACCACACAGTCTTTATATAATCTTTTTGTACTCACTCTTGTGGAACTTGGGGTGGGGTTGGGGGTGCAAAGGATATCACAAAGTTAAAATCTAGGCCTAGTAAATAATGGTCTCAAGTCAAATTAATAGCAAGACACAGTCCCTCAATTAGTTCAGACAGGTTCTCAGTCAACAGCAAAATACAGGCACTCATTAATACAGGCCACTCATCAGTCAACAGCAGGGTACCTCTGGTGCAGGAAGCTCTGGCCCTGAAGGATGAAAACTACTTGTGCCACTTCTTCTTTCCTAGTGTTGAGGCTCCCCATTTCAAGGGCTCTGTGCCTGGCTCCTTTTTGCTCTATCAGGCTATGGTTTGCCACAGTCTTTCTGCAGTCTGGTAAGTTTTCTCCCTTAAGTTGGCCTCAGATGTGCTGATGATGTTGAAGACTGTGATCAAATGTGAACCCTGTATCAGTAGTTGTGGCAGCTGGAGGTCATGCCCCCAGGGAGAGCAAAGGAAAAGGAAAGAAAATCCATTCTCAATAGTCCTGACATTAAACAGAGACTATAACAGGTGTAAATACCAGGTAAGTTTTGGTATCTTCCCTACCTGCTCGGTAGAATATGATAGTGTCAGTGACTTACTGCCTAGTGTGACTTAGAAAGTATAGTTGAATTCACAAAGAATCATTTTCTTATTCCACCTTTATTGCTCTCATAATTGTGAGCCACAAATGAGCTCAGAAGAAGCTAAAATCAAGGCTACTCAAGAAAACAATAAAGAAATGTATGTCTGTTACAATATGATTTATATACTGATCATCAAGGGTTATTCATTCGTACAACCATGTGGGGTTTTTTTTTTGATGGGTTTGTTTGTTTGTTTTGGTTTGTTGTTTTTTTTTGTTTGTTTGTCTTGTTTTTGTTTTTGTTTTTTTGCTATCAAGAAATTTGCCCAAAAGAAAAGCCAAAACAAAATCTGTAGAGTCATGGCCGAAAATTAATTAAAGATATGTTCTTTCAAAGGATTTTGAAGATCTGTCTCACATCCTTTGGGTACATGGCTAAAGGAGTGACCAGTCCTTGGAGACGGACATCATGCTTAGAATGGTGGAGGGATAGTGCAGAAAAGGAAGACCCCAGATGGGGTGGATTGACACAGTAACTGGGGGTAGGTGTGTTGGAGTCAGTGAGACTGGTTTAGGACAGGGCAGAGTTCAGAGCTACTGTACATAGAGTCTCTATGAGTCCCAGGTGACTTGATGGCACATAAAAACACCACCAACAAGAACAAATGATTGTTATTTGGTTTTAATATAGCCTTCAGTTTCTAATAAAGCTCATTAACTATGCCTCTTCTCAGACAAGGGTGGGGACTTGTTCAAAAAGGAGCAGAAAAAAAGCCAGAGGGCCTTAGGGCTATGAGCATCTCTCTGAACAGGACAGAGGGAGTGAGAAGAACTCAGCCTTCCCTGACACAGAGCAGAAAGCAGATAAAGAGTTTGTAGACCAGACTTTAGAGCGCCCCCCCCCCGCAACAGGAAGAGGTTCTTTTGTTTTCCACTCATAAACTCACAGTTACGGTGCCAACAATGAGGTTTATTAGGAAAAGAAGTTGGAGAATAAGGGAGTCAAAGAATATCTTACCAGCCAGACTTTAGCAACTGTTCAGATCTCACTCTTACTGGTGTCTTGCCACCACAAGCCTTGATCACCTCAGGTCTTGCTCACCTCAAGTCATGTTGTTTAGTGTCAGAATCACTCTTTCTCTTATCTTAACTGCACAGCTGATGCAGATTTGCAAGACCATGTGTCTGCAGTTAAGGTAACTGGAGGCCAGAACCAAATGACTTTAAAAAAAAAAAAGAAGTACCAACTTTTAGGTTAACTCTACTGTAGGCTAGCCTAGAGCTATAGTTTTAGCCTAAAAAATGGGTTTTGAGGCTAGGACAAGGGAAAGAGTTTTCCCAAGCTAAGTAGTAAAACCTGAGGTGAACAAGACCTGAGGCAAGCAAGGCTTGCAATGGCAAGACCCTGATAAGAGTGAGATGCTGGTAGTGGAGAGAGTGTGGCATTGCTGTGGAGAAACTGTGACAAGGTGTGGCCTGAGGTTTCTTGCATGTGTGCTAGCCACAGATAGATTTAGGCTGTTTTTGCCAGATATTTGAAGGAGAGATTGACTTATAACTGCTCCTAGGCAAACCTTGCCAGATGATTTGGTTATAACTACTTGGAGGCATTTCTCCTAACAGTGGCCTTGTGAGATATACTTTAGTATTCCTATTTTTTTTATATGAGCAATATACATAAAGAGATTATGTTCCTAGAATTGTATCACCTATAAGGTACGTGCATTCTTTTTATACCAATGATTTACAAATTATAGTTTATAGTTAATTTTAATGAAAATTTAGAGTTTTATTTCTATTCATTCATTGTTGCACTTTTCTCCCTGCCCACCCCTCTAACACAATACACTTTTCTCTTTGAAAAGTAAAAGAAAAAATTATTTTGTTGTTTTACAATCACTCCCCCTCAGATCCACTCCACTATGCAGCCTTCATTCTGGACTCCTGTCATGACAATAATACATAATCACATATCCCTTTTAAACAGTTCTCTCCCTCATCTGTTTCAATGCAGTATACATTATTTATCCCATCTTTCTCAGTCTCCCCTCAACCCCTATGTTAGTCCTGTTTTACAGCAGTGGCACTATGCAGTATTTGTCCTTGTGTAACTGAGACATTTCACTCAGCATAATGTCCTTCAAGGTCACCCATTTTTAATAATATTTAATGAGTTCCTTGTTTTTCAATGCAGCATAGTATTCCATTGTGTGAATATACTAGATTATCTATCCATTTGTTTGTTGATGGGCACTTAGGTTGTTTCCAAATCCTTGCTATTGTGAACAAAGCTGTGATAAACATGGGTGTGCATATATCTGCTTGGATGTCAGTTATGGTCTTTTGGGGTATATTCCCAGTAGTTGAATTACTGGGTCAAATGCTATCTCCATTTGCAACTTTTTGAGAAAGTGCCATCCTGCCTTCCACAGTGGTTGCACCATTTGACACTCCCACCAACAGTGAATAAGGGCTCCAGTTTCTCCACAACTTCGCCAGCATTTGCTGCTTGCTGTTCTGTTAAATTTTGCTATTCTGACTGGGGTGAGATGATATCTCATAGTTGTTTTGATTTGCACCTCTTAGAGCTAGGGATTATGAACATTTCTTCATGTGCTTGTTAGCCATCTTAATTTCTTCTTTGGTGAAGTGTCTGTTCATATCCTGTGCCCATTTTTCTATTGGATTACTTTGCTTTCTCAAAAAGTTGCAAATAGAGATACTGTTTGACCCAGCAATTCCACTACTGGGAATATATCCCAAAGAGACTATAACCGAAATCCAAGCAGATATATGCACACCCATGTTTATCATGGCTTTGTT